TTCCCAAGGATTTATTCATTAATAAATAAATGTTAATGTATAGAAATGAAATACAATTTTTAAAGCGTACGTATAAAATGACTTAAATGTGGGAGACACCGTTTTCACAAATGCTCCATGCTAAATAATATTTTACAGACTCCAAACTAAAGGCCTTCTACATAACATCACTAAAAGTAGAGTGTGAGTTATCTGAATGTTTACAAAGAGAATTTCTAACCTCTTTTAATGATTTTTTAAGCACCTTGTCTCTGCTGTTTGCTGATCGTCTTAAACTGTTATGTGACGTGCTACTGCATGTCCAGGCTGTATACAGTTTTCCTTTGGACTCTGCCTCAAAAGTAGACATGTCTCTGTGTTAATCATTTTAATTTCATATTTAAATCTCATAAGATGAGTCTCTTCAAGGAAAGGATAAACCTCCACACATTTCTACATGTGGTAGGAGATTATGTTCACCGCCATGCCTGTCATTTATTGGATGTTAGAATCGTGTGTGTGTGTGTGTGTGTGTGTGTGTGCGCGCGCGCGCGCATAGTCCCTTATAGTCAAGCAAATGCTTTCTTTTTTAAATATCCACTGATATAGTTTTCTAGTTGTTCTATTTGCTTACCTTAAAAGTCACCAGGCAGAACAGGTGTGAAATTGAGAGATCAGCCGTTTGCAAAGGGCATGGCAGCAGTTGCGAAGATTAAGTTTCTTACACTTTATACCTTGTGATGTTTGTGAGTTTTTAAAGCTACTGAGCTACTTTACCTGAAAATACGCCTTGTTCTATTAATTTTCACCTGAGCCAATGAATTAAATGATCATTCTTTTGATATGTAATTGTTCTATTATTTCCCATGAAATAGAATAAAGGAAATGTTTCAGGTGCTAGGCAAGATTTATAAAAATGGGAAATCCATTTAATTGTTAGGAGAAATGGAGAAAGAAAACCGTCTTTCTCCTTCTCATATCCTAAATCCGCTGGCCCACTCTGTCTTCCGTCCCCATTTTCTCCTTACCTTTTTCAACCTTGCCTTTGGTAGTTTATTAAAACATCTTGGTTTAGTTTGGTTACATTTATTCTTGTTTAAATCAGACCTCACATGACGTTGTCCACATTTCAAGGACAGTAAGCAATAACACAGTTCAGTTCTGTCCACAGGTATTGACTGAGGATTCCTACACACTATGAATTTCAGAGTGATGGGAGCAAAGAGACCTGTGTCCCTGTCCTGGACAAGATAGTCCAGTTAAGATAAGTAGTCGAATGTCCAGTGCAGGCAAGAGGAAGGCTAGTGTCACAGACATATAAAAGTGGCACAATCCCACAGACAGAAGTATTACTTCAAAAGGATGGAGACTTCCACTTTACATAGCAAAAGGTATATACTTGGATATGAGGGAAGGCGTAGAGATAACTAGAAGTGCCCTCCAGGTAGAAGGGCCTGAGTGAGCAAAATTGTGGAGGAACAGAGAAGCATGACATGTACTGGGGACAGTGATCTGCTTCACCGACAGAAGCAGGGACCAGCGAGAGATATGGCTGGATGGTTGGAGTGGGGTGAGAAGAAGGGAGGAGCACCAGTTCTACACAAGCCCAGTAACTTAAGTAAGCATTGATATCGCTGGAAAATCAGATATTGGGGACATCACAGCCAATTAAAAAGGATTTCTCTGGAACCTACTTGTGATTTGCCTAGGCCTCTTTTTCCCTTATTGCCATTAATATAAGGAATTAGATATATTGAGGTAAGGCGTAGGGATTTGTCATGAAATCTTCACTTAGTGGATTGTCTCACATTTGAAAAATGAAGGGAATACGTATGCATCTTACATATAGACAAATGACACAAAAGACGCCGAACTTTTCAAAGAGTGTTTTGTTTAATAAGGTTCTTACACTACAATAAAGACATTTCTTATAAAATGTGATCATTCAAATCTAGTAAAAATTTAATCCACTACTTAAAGACATTTCGGTTAGGTGATGGAAGCATATTGGAGTAATGACCAGTTCTGTTTTTATAAAATGAAAAGTAAATCATGTTGCCAGGATTTTTTTTACCAATTATTTCTGAAACCAGAAACAGATAAACAAAGGAATTAAACCAGATATTGCAGTAACCTTTGTGACTGTTTCTTCCTCCGGGGGTACAGCTGCGGAGATGCCCGAAGAGCTTGTCCGGTCATATTTCTGTTGTACCTGGTTGCAGAATCAAAGTCAGTCCTATTCCTCAGTTCCACAGGAACTGGCTAAAGCGAAATTCAAATACCACAAGAAGATCCTATTGTGTAGTTCAATTTCTACATTCACTCAGTACAAATTTGAAAGAAAGGTCAGAGATCATGATAACAAAAATCAGGAGACGGACCTGCCTGTATCCTCATTAGTTGTTCTGTGAGGTTTTTTTCTTTTTCTTTTTTTTTTTTTTTTTTTTTGTTTGGCTTTATCTCCTTTTTTAGTTCATTTACATGCAGAAAAGGTGACCCTCATAAAGAAAACAACAGACCTGGGGATATGAAATGATATTTATGGCTGGAAAACATTTTATTAAGAAAGCACTAGTAATGACGTTGGGGAAAATACCTTATTATTTTCCCAGATTTGGTACGGGTGTTTTTAAGGTTTCCGTTTAACCAGCACACTGGAGATGAAAAAATAGAAGGTCATCTTGTTTCTTTAACACAATGTTGATAGACAATATAGATACAGATACTCTCTGAAATGATTTCCTATCAACATATTAGAGCTCAGCAGGAAGCCACTGAACGTGGCGTCAGTGTGACCCGGTGTTCTTTGATGTGGGGTGTCATCCCACGGCTTGTTCCTTCTCACGTTCAGTGAGCTATTGCAATATTGATAGTTTATACAAATGTGATTTTTTAAAGACAATTGTTTTTACTACCTATTCTTGACGTGTGAATTAATTTTTTAAATTTTGTTTCTAACAGTCAGAAACTCAGCAAGACAAAAAGTGATGGTTATTATATCACATTTCCACCCCCAGTCTATGAGTATGAAGCAGATATGCAATGTACCTTTCTTCATTCGCTCTCCCACGACATCCTCGTTTTCTCCTTCATCAATACTTGGAGAGACACAGTGCAGGCCACTGTGCTTATAAAGATTCCCCTGGCTGTGATGAGTCACAGTCAAATCCATACTAAACCAGGAGTTCTTCCTGAGACCCAGTTTTCTGGATTGACATAATAATGTGATCAAAACAGGTTGTAACAATCCACCTCTTCTACACTTAGGAATAGTCTCACAAGTTCTTATGATTTGTTTCAAGTTTTTTGTAAGTAATGTTTGGAAGACAGTTAAATAATCAATTATTTCTTCTTTGCATACAGAGAAACACATTATTGAGTATTTAAAACCTATTGAAACTTCTATTGTCATATTACAAATGTGTCTGAGTATGAGAAGTTTTGGTTAAGTTAAGGTTACCAAAGTCAGATAAGAGAGATAAAAGCAGTTGTGTTGTTCTTTTAAGGGACTAATTCCAGTTCAGACCACCTGTGTTGATAAAGTTATGAATGCAGTGTTCTTTGCGTTAAGGAGATATAGCAAGTTGACTAAAACTCTTAAAGCTAGAATTCAAAAACCAAGCCACTTAAGAACTACAGAAATGCTAACCTTAACTCCATGGTCATTCTGACCTGTCAACAAAATTATCAGGATAGCAATTTTAGAGATAATTTCTAGGCACTGCTTGTAGTATTCCACTCATACTTAATGAAAATGTGCCTTCTCAAATAATCAAATATTTGCCCTCCGTTCTACTTCAGGATGTTTGCTTTCGGTCAACTAAAAAGTTGAAGTCAACCATTCATTTTCAATGGGGCTTGAGGGTTGCATGCGATTAGGAGATTTAGAAATATCAATGTACCTAATGAAAAGAAGGAAATCTTTCATTTATTGTTCAATAAATGACCATATAGATGTTTTGTTCTTGTTTTGTCTTCCCATAAATGCATATTTCTTAGACATATGGGGTGATATGTACAAGTTTTCCTCCTTGAATTTACCTTTACAGGTAAATAAGCTGATTAATTGTTCTCTTAGTAGATAAATGTTACATGTTTTATTAAAGAAGTTCTTATGAAAAAGGAATCATTCGAGTAGTATTGCTCTGAGTGGCTTCCTTCCAGTTGGCCTCGTGGCCAAGTCAAAAGTATCATAGTACTGCATACCAATGCCTAGATAGCTGGGCAGCTTATCAAAGGAAATGCTCCACCATGGAACAGAGCACAGAGTTTTGCATACAGTAGTTATTCAGCTAATAGTTGTTGGAATAAATTGTAAATGAATATTTGCATAACCCTTACTTCACTAAAATGATTAGTTTCATCCTTTCACACTTTTAGCTGTGAGTGATAACAGCAGCCAAATTGCTCTACCAGATTTTCATTTCTTCTTCAGATTTCCACATAATCTGTTTACTTACAATTTTGAGTTATCATCTAATGACTTAATGATCAGATGATAAATATTACCAAAGACTTATTTGTTTTCTAAATGCACCATCAGGAATAATTCATTGTTTTACAATGACAAAAGATTAAAACTTTGAAGACAAAAATACTACCATGAAGAATAAATAGTCCATTTGGAATATTTTTATTATCGTCATTTAATGCCTTATTCTTTACAGGTACAAATTTCCTCTGAAACAATGCTTGTGGAACTTTTCATTTACATTTTTCAACTCTGAATAGTTGGTATTGAAATAGTTCAGCTGTGTTACAGTCTCTTTTTACAAGAGAAAAACCATAAAGACGGGCCACCCACAAACGGACCTGAAAGATAATCTCCTGATTGTTTCCGTCTTTGTCAAATATGGGTTATGAATGCACTGGCTTTCTAGGTATATAAAGTGTGTGTATAAAGTATTATTCAAGTGAACAGAAAGTGTTTCTTTAAGTTTACAATTTCAATATACATAGGTGTTTTCTTAAAAACATGAAATAGAAGTTGAAATATTTGATTTATTAGTATGTGTTGGTAAATCCAAATTTCATGCTCAGTACTAAAAGGCCAAAAAAAAAAAAAATTCCTCGGCTATTGTCCCTGTTTTATCTGTTTCTGAAAAGCATAGGGGGACATATACTCTCAAAAAAAAATGAATCTTTACTGCAAAAGAAATGAATGCAAGAAATAGCACTTGAAGTAGTGAAGAGACGTGAAGCATTGCAACTTCACAGCCTGCTAAGGAGCAACAGCTGTACCTAATTTCAGCTTGACGTGCTTGAGATCTCATATTCATATAGGTATTTAATGATCCAAACATAATGGTCCTATATAGAATAATTACTTATATGAAGGAGCAAACTTCATACGCATTCCTTTTTAAATGATCCTTCAAGAGAAAAACTGCTGGATCTTTGAACAATGAATAGTCTCTTTCACCAATCCAAATGTTTAGGGCTAAATAGCTTATCTTTTAAGAGAGAATAATACTCGGGCTGAGGTTATTTCTTTTTGACAGACTCTTTTTGTCTACCCCCTTCCCAGGACAGCCAGTACAATGAAAGAAGGTAGAATGCCAAACCAATCATTAAGTCATAGTGATAGATAGTTACAAGAAATATCAGAAACAAAAGGATGTGTGGTATTCTAGAGTTGGTATATTTCGAAAACAAAGATTCGTTGCTTTGAACTTGACTTTCCTGATCAGGGAGACTAGCAGAAGCAGAGCTCTCAGGCTCATTTTCACCTGAAGAACGTGGCAATTGTCCAGAGTTTATTAATTCTTCATGTTCATGCCTTGCTTCTTCCGTGTTCTCGAGAGGTTCACTGATTAAAATCACAGGCCCTAGAGATTTTTCCATGCTGCTGTCTCCCTTTTGGAAAATCTGGCCCATACATCTTTCTTTTCTGCTACCTGGTTTCATTACTGAACTTTTGGAAATTTCTTCAGGTGTAGACCCAGTCTGAGGGTGCTTCTCAATACCCTGGATTTCTCTTGATTGGTTACAATTATTTTCTGATTTAGTAGAAAGAGATCTGAAAGTCATGGTAGTGACTGTACTCTGTACAGAAATTGCCTGTTTATAAGATGGCCCTGTAGTTTTAGTGTGGTGTTTGGAAATGTGAGAGTCCTTCTGAGAACCTGTATTAGTGTCTGAGTTAAAAGCAGAAATCGCAGTGGGATGTAAGTCCATTTGATGGGATAATTCTTGGACCTTTCCATGATCTCTGGATCTTTCCGTGTTTTCTGGTAATATGTTTTTGCCTGTGGGTAATATTCCCAATTGTGAATCTGGTTTAGAAGTTGCCTTTTGAGTTTTTGTAATGGCCTGCGAGGATTCTTCTTCCATAGATGTTACACTTCCAAGGCCGAGTTGCTCCCTGTCATATGTCTTCCCAGGATTGTAGGTAGACGTGGCTTCTTTCTTCTCTGTTTCACCCACACGCACATTACAAATACCTAAACATGATTTCTTTTCACAATCCTTGTCACGGATTACACCCTCTGGATCTCGTTGACAAAGGGTATAATGTGAAGCATCATTTCTCCCTTCATGTGGATCAGACGCTGCTTCCTTTACCTCGATGGGCCTGTCACTTCGTGCTGTCTCTTGGGGTAGCTTAGCAATTATGGCTTTGTCTCTAGCAGACATGCTTTCTGGAGCACTTTCTGATGTTGTCTTAATTATATAAGCCGTACCTGCTTCTGCTTTCTCAGTAATACCATCATCAGCTAGGGAAGACAGTTCACAGCACACTGTTTCTTGGCAGGTAAACAAGTCTGTAGACGTAGCTTTCAACCCCCTTGTATTATCTCTTTTTTCCCACAGGTCTTCACAGTCCTCTGGCTCTTTGTTCTGCTCTGGTATATTTGTCTTACTTTCTCTTGCTTTTCCCTGACTTTCCAGAACATTCCAATTTTCTTTATGCTGTGAGTTTTTACCCCAATCTGCAGAATTAATACAACCTGATTTTCTTTCTTCAACTTGGAAAAGATAATCATTTTTAAAAACATTTCCATTTCTTGATGAACAGACTTGACTCATTATTCCTTCTGAAGGGACGCCTTCACCAGTCAAGTGATCACGCTCTGGAGTTAATATAGCTTCTTCCCAACTTGAATTTGTCCTTGGTGAATGAGACGCTGTAATTGCCTGGGCGGGAAGTGAGGTATCTTTGCTCAGCATAGCAGTCAGGTCTTCGTCAGTCGCTCCAGTCCCTTCCACGCTTGTTTCGGAGTGGCCCATCTTCCTTCCTTGGTCAAGTGAGATTGATTGACAAACGTGGCTTTGTTTTTCATTAACACTCAAATGAGTTCTTTGTTCCTCATCACCCTTACCACTGCCATAATCTTCCTTGGGAGATACACGTGTTGGTTCCTTGAGATATGCAGAGGCATCAGAGTAGAAATCTCCTCTTAAACATGGCCAGTCTTTCACTTCAGTTTTGCCTGCCATTAGTAGATCTGAGGAAGGGCAGGATACATGCACCCTGCCCCTCTTGTGGGCTGGATTAGCATCATCATCTAGGCCTTTTCTGCTGCTGACGTGTAATTGCGCTAATTCATCACGACTAGGACCTCCCAACGACTTCTTGATTCTTTCCATATCTGCAGTAATTTCCTCTGCAGGTTGATGACTACACTTCTCATTTCCCAAGGAGTATTTTTCACTGTGGTGAGAATCTCCCTTTAAGGAGCTTTCTGCTGATGAACTTGGAGACAAAGGCCTTTGGAACAAGTCAGCGCTTAGTTCACCATGGATTTGCTTCTTCTCTAATCCCTCAGCTTTACTTGGAAAATTGACTGGCTCTGTGGAAAATGTATTCCTTTCATCTCTGGAAGCCGCACTTCTAGATCTTATTAAGTGTTGGTTTATCTTATGGGATGAAAACAACAAAAATAATGAGTATGTGATCTTTTCTTAAATACACACAACGAATTAGATAGGTTTTATTAACTTGACTGGAAATTATCTGGCCGATTTCCTTGACTCATTTCATTTGTGGGTTTCATACAAACTCTGGAATCCAGATGTTTGGGGGAGATCCTCGTAGGCTATGACTAGGGAATGAGATTAGTAAAAAAGGGGCCCAAATTAATCACTCTCCTTCCCAGCTTCCAAATATCACATTGTATTATTCAACTATTCTTGCTTGTCATTGCACTTTCTCCTCACTTGGGATATACACATTGATAGCTCCATGCTAATCAATTAGAGAGCAGCTTCCTGGGTGCCCCTTGCTACATTTACACTTGCTGGAGGTGCCCCCATTACCGTTTCTCTTATTAATATGTTTTCTGCAAAGCCTCTGCAAACTATTAATAGCAAAACGTCACTCAAAGAAAAGTGAGGGAGTTAATGTCTCTGCAAATTCTGTTTTAATGACCCTCTGCCAACTGGTACTCAAATGTATTTGAGCTCTTCAGTGATGCCAACTGTCAGGATTTAACAGTGAGATGCCTGTATTTTTTTTTCCTCCTCATAACTGACATTTGCATGATCTCAATAATTATATGCAAATCTTACGTTTTCCCCTTCTTCTCACATAAGGCTCATGTTACTTGTCAACTGCACAGCTGTCTTGTAAGCCAATGCCTGTGGGTTCCACAGATTTGGTTGTATTTCCATCTATTATAGAGCTTCATTGTTTTATGCATTAACGTCAGCATGGAGCAAATTAGCATCTAAATTACAGCTCCCTGTTCATTTATTGGACGTACAATCTCAGTAACTTCTAAACAAACTTTTATATTTGAGCCTGCTCACGGTAATGAGATGTATTGGTGAAGTATGTGATTTTCCAGGGCCCTTTCATTATATTCTGTGGTTTGAAAAAAAAAATGGCGATGTTAACTTTCAGCTGGTGAGAATTCTCACAATGGATGACAACTTTGTAGTTTCTTAAAGTTGGAGCAAAGTAAATTGCATACTTTAGTGATGCAGCTCCCATATCACTATAGAAAAGGTGGAATATGTAGAGAAAGAGAGGAGCTCTATTTCTTTTCTGTTTCAGCACTGACACTGGAAGAGGCAAATGTCATTTTAATCTTAGATGATTATAAATCCATGTATCACAATGATAGGAGCTCCAACCAAATACAATAAAGGCGAAATTGCATTATGTGACTCATTTACTCCTATTTCTTCCTTTGTGATAAAAGTGCTATCTAAATCATCCCCCCCCCCAAATTCCTTATAGATTGAATGTTCATCAAGTGTGAAATTTATAACAAATTTAATACCGAATTGTACAGCACTGGTTGTGTTTCCTGTCTAAAAATTATGGCACAGGCTATTTTCTCCTTACTTGGTAATTTAACACTCTACCGTGATGTAGAACTTTGAGACGCTTACAAGGATGGAAGTGAAAAAAAAAAGTGCTGCCAAATGCAAGAATCATAGACTTGTAGAGTTGAACAGGACCCTAACAATCATCCAGTCCAGCCCTCTCATTTTACAGACGAATTTATGCTAAGTGTACACTTGCCACAAAGATTAGAAATGCACATTAGGACAGTGCTACCTCTCCTGTAATTCCTACAAACTATTACTCAGAGCCGCTGGTAAAGAGATAAGAAATGAAAGTCATTAATTTACCACTGCAGAGACCAGAAGCAACATACTGAAATCAAAGTGCCTTGTTGATCAAGCTAGAGATGCGAGGATAGAATAGGCTGCGCTCCACATTTGCAAATTATATTAGTGGAAGCTATTGAAAGGCAGGCATAGTGGCATCTTTGAAACATAAATGGATTCATCTTCCCTAATACCGTGGCAACCAGAACACTTACCATCAGCTCTAATTCTTTTTCATTATGTTCATCATTTCCCCTGTTTACATCTTTTACATTTTGATTACTGGTTTCCAAGTCTTCCTTGTCCTCATGAGAACAAACGATTGTTGGGATGTAAGTATCTGAAAAGTTAATATAAGTGCACCAGTGTAAGGTTATTTTAACTGTAGATTTTAACAAAAGAGACAAATTTTGTTTAAAAATTAGATAATAACATTACCTGTAATCTTTGGATTCTCAAAGTCATTCTCTTCCGATGTTACTGATGATTCTTCTTTACTGTTAAATTTAAAACAAAAAATGTTGTTTTCCTGGGATTACATTGTCTAAGAATTGATTTTTACAGAAGGAAATTCAAATCAATAGCAAGCCAGCCAAATAAACATTATGTGAGCTTTCATATTTTCAAATATCGCTCTGTATGCTTTAAAGTAAAATTGATCTTGTAAAATGCTATACTAGTAAACATTGGCTGTAGAAAAATTTTAACAATACTTTACACAATGCCATATTTCTTAACCAGATTGTGCTTCTCATATTAAAACTCATATAACCAAAGTAAAAATACATGTAAATGTAGATGATTCCATTATTCATGAATTTAATCTTCACAAGTATGAACATTTTTCTTTGGTTTAAATGATAAAATGTTATGAACTGCCAGTCCATTTGTGGTCATGGAAATTGCTTTCTAACATTTCAATTATTAATTTTTTGTATTCTGTTTTACTGAAAATTCTTTCAGTTGAACTGTTTGTGACATCAGTTCTCTCTCCAGAAAATAAGAAAAGAAATAAGCTAACTGAAATGCAGCTAAATTTATACTCGGTTAAATGTATTTCCACAGGCCAATTTTATGATCAAAACTTCAGATCTTTCATATGCAAGCATACAGTTTCTTTCTTTAAAATGATTCAAGTTGCATTCCCTTTTCTAGCATATTATACATACCCATTTAAAAAGATAAATGCCTTTTTCTTTTAAATTTACTGTCTTTTGGTATACTTGTGGAATGATTAGAATATAGATTTGCCCGTGACACTACATAGGAAAAAGTATTCATGAAAACGCCCCCTTTGTGTATAGCTATGTCACAAGTCAATTTATCAGAAATATTTGACCAGTACCCACATTTTCTTATACTGTCCCAGCGGAATTTTCTTCTAGTTTCTTTTCTCAGTGACTTTTCAGCAACAAAAGAAACCTGGAAAGTTGGCAATGGCTGATACATTTATGAAACAGAATTTAATCTTCACTGCATGAAGAATTCGGATCCAAACTCCAGGAAGACTAATTTTATTTCAATAAATCATGATGAGATTGCAAATTGTTCCATTCTGACCATTAAAGAAGGTAATTCAGTTTTGTATATTTAGGATGCTTAGTTTTAACTTTACTAAAATCATTTGGTACATTTAGTGGGTCCATAAATGAAAATAATATTTCTATATGAATATAACTTTGTTAGAAAAATACACTGTTTCCATTATGGTTGCTGACATAATCTATAAATCTGTCTTGCTCAATGAGGCTAAAAATTATGCATAATTTTTATTATAAAATTCAACTGTGAGCTGACACATCTTTCCTTCCCCATGTACATAATGCCTACGTGCTTACAAAAATATCAACCATTACATAGCATTCCTCCTTCTTCCTCTTTATTCCCATAACAATCCTGAACATTGCATTTGTAAAGGAAAAATAATATTCACTCAAAGGCTTTTGTTTTTACCTAATTAAAATGTTATCAGTAATTTTTATTTAAAAATCTTTTCATTGACTTTATTTATTTAGATGATAATAATTGCAATATTTTGGGCAAATATAGTGGTATTTTGATGTAGATAATGTATGGTGAACACATCAGGGTAATTAGCATATCCATTGTCTCAAACATTTATCATTTCTTCATGCTAGGTACCTCTAATATTCTCTTTGAAGATATTTGAAATCATATTACCCTTAGCTATAATCATCCTACAGTGCTATAGAACACTAGAATTTATTTCTCCTACCTGGCCATAGTTTTTTTTTCCTTTAATAAATCTAATTCAGTTAGATTTATTGAAAATAAATACCTTAATTTTTAAACGATTGATTCAAAATGGTAGGAGCCTGCTTCAACTTATTTTGAGAACAAATGATTAAATACTCAACTGTGCATTATTATGTTAGTGTCTCACAAAAATACATAAATGTAGAGACAAAGGAGGAAAAATTTAGATTTAGGGAGAAATGAAAAAAGAAAGTAGAAATAAATGAAAATTTCATATATCAAATATCTATGAACAAAACTAATACAAAATGTACAAGATTTCTCCAGGGAAAAGAATAAAATCCTATCAAGAAATATTTTTAAATGTCCAAAAAAAAAAAGAAAAGAAAGAAAGAAAGAAAGAAATATACCATGTTCATAGATAGGAAGAAAATGTTATGAAGATATTTTTCTCTCTTGAACTGATCTGCAGATTTAGTTCAAATCTAACAAAAACTTCAAAATGAGTTTCACAGATTTTGAAAATATGATTCTAAATAGACAAATAAAGGGTTAACAATAGCTGACATATTTCTGAGAAATGGCAGGAAGGAGAAACCTACTTTACTTGATTTCAGGTGTTATTATGAGATTAAATTATTAAGACAGAGCTATATTGATACATGGACAGAAAAAACTACTGAAGTAGGACCTTGGTAACAGAATCACACAAACTTAGAACTTTGTTAAAGGACAATAGGGAAATAAGGGACTTTTCTGTAAAGGGAGATAGGGACAATGGCTATCAGTTAAATTCAGACCTTAAATGTCAGAAACTTTTAAATTCTTAATTGAAAATGTATGTGGATATCTTTTAGACTTCAGAGTAGGAAATATTTTCTTAAATAAAGAAAGAAATCAGAGACTGTTAAAAATTTGGTCAGTTTAACTATTCAAATTTAAACCTTTGTTCATTAAAAGACTTTCTATAAAGAAAAAATAGAAATTACAAACTGGAAAAAAGATATTTACATCATAAAATATCAACCTATATGGGTATCAAGAATACATAAAGAACTCCTACAAATCAATAAAAAGTACAAACAATTCATTGCAAGAGGTAAGGGAGATAGATTTTCACAGAAGAGATAAAACCACACAGATGGTTGATAACCATATAAGAGAATGGTCAATATTCTTAGAGAATAGAGAATTAAAAATCAAAGCCACGAGGAGGTAAAATTTTATACCTATTGATAAAAAATTTGAGTATCTATTCATACCAAGAGTTGGAGATGGCTTGGAGCCACAGACCTTTTTTTATATGTAATGGGTGAGAGAATAAACAGGCTAAACCACTTCGGAAAAGTTAACTGATGTCATCTCCTAAAGATCAACATTTATATAATCTGCCAGTGCTACATCCATCCCCAGATATAGATCCAAGAGGAACTCGCATTCACATTGCCTGAGGTCCTATAGGACGTTCATGTTGACCTTGGTATTGACTGTATAAATCTTGAACCAACCCAAGTTCCTATCAACAAAAGGGTAGACACAAAACCGTGAATATCACAACATAATATATTAGATAGCACTCAAAATTAATAAAACACAGAGTCACACAACAGTGTGGATAAATCTTAGCAATATAATATTAAATAAAAATGAACAATCCCAAAATATTTCATCAGAGAAATAATTACCAAAACAATTTCAATATGTATTTACATAAGTATATATGTTTTAATATGTATGGGAACATATGCTTTTATAATGACAATTATATGAAAAAGAACATTATTTTCAAGATTATGGTTATATCAGGTGGGACAAGGTAAGAGGAAGAAATCGGGAAAGGAAATGGCTAGAAGTCAGTCATTGAATGGGGTGACTTTTTCAGGCGCTTAGCTAAATATGCAGTTTAACTCCAGTTTCAGATAACTTATGCAGACAACTGGGTTGCTCTCTGGCCTAGATTAGAGAATGTCTGCAAATAAAATCTCACTCTAAAATTCAAAGCATTTTTCATAAGACCAATTACATGTAAAGAGTTTAACTAAACAGCTTTAGAAAATGTTAAGAAAAAGACAAAAAATTTGGTTGATAATGATAGTTTCTAGAACTACAATTGTGATGTAAATAAAACAGATTTTTTATATCCCCCTGGGTAGAGTGCCATGGCCTCACTGCTCACAGCAACCTCCAACTCCTGGGCTCAAGCGAGTCTCCTGCCTCCGCCTCCCAAGTAGCTGGGACCACAGGCGCCCGCCACAACGCCTGGCCATTTTTTGGTTGCAGCCATTATTGTTGTTTGGTGGGTCCGGGCTGGATTCGAACCCGCCACCTTAGATGTATGTGGCTGGCGCCTTAGCCGCTTGAGCCACAGGCGCCGAGCCAAAACAGATTTTTTAACATTTCTCATCTCCCCTTTATGTTCCTTCAATAATCTTTCAACAGGGGATTTTCTTTGTTCCTGAATTCCCAGTGCCTGACACATAATAATGACGTGATAAAAGCAGCATCCTTTCTACCTCCTCTTCTCTCTACCTCCTGCCCACATCACCATGTCATTGTTCTTCTCTTTTTTCATCATTAAGATTTAATTTCAGAGAAGGATATAATATTTTAAAGTATGGATGTTTTTGCATGTCTTTTAAGGCGTTAAAATATCACCCCTTCTAAAGTTCAGGACAATGCTTTTAATTATGGGGTCAACTAATTAAATAGAATTTTAAAATTCTTATGACTTTTGAAATTAAAAAGCCAAGGAGATATCAATTTCGCAGAGCAATAGTTAATTTTCAGTACACTTTAAATCACATAATATAGTCAGGTATATTATTTACTCTAAAAGGAGTCACTCCATTCTTCTAGTAGATACTTTTTGAATACCTACTGTGTGCCATAAATTTTAATAAATACTGGGAAATCAAAGATAAATAATCTCTATCTTACTACTTCAAGGAAGCTGTAATGTCAGGATGGATATAGAGCCATAAATAATCAATTATAATTATTATCATAAAACGATAAATAGTATAATAAATAATGGGATCCTGTAGAAATTCTCAAGAGAAGAAGAGAGGACAGAAATGAGATGCTATAGGAAAAATAAGGGAAGTGACATTCTGAGTTAGAGTTTATGGAGTTGCATAACAAGGAGTTTTCCACTCAGAGAAGAAGGATAAGGTCATCATAGGCAGAGAAAACAAGAGGAAGACAAGGATGAAAGTAAGAGAGCATGAAAGGAAAAGGCCCATCTAAGAACTCTGAGAAGCTATTCAGAGGATTGGACTTA